TGGCCGTTCGCCAGAGTGCACACGTTTGTGTAGAGTCAATCCACCAGATTGAGCGAACGCCTTTTCACACCCAGAAAAGTCACCAGCATCTGGACGTTCGCCAGAGTGCACGCGTTTGTGTAGAGTCAAACCACCAGATTGAGCGAACGCCTTTTCACACCCAGGAAAGTCACAGGCAAATGGACGTTCGCCAGAGTGCACGCGTTTGTGTGCTATCAAATGACTAGAAGCAGTGGACGCTTTTTCACACCCAGGATAGTCTTAGGCATATGGACGTTCACCCGTATGCACACGCATATTTTTTTTGAGATCAGAAGCAGAGGCACAAGTCTGACCACAGTTGTGCCACTCACAAGCGTGCGGCTCTACTGCGCCAGATCTAGATCTAGATCTAGACCCTATAGGACGAAAAAATATATTGTTGTGGAACATTGCCTGTGCGGTACGAAATAGACATTAGTTGAGAGTGCAGGTGGCTATGATCAATGAATTGTATCAGTAAAAGAATGAATTTCAATTTGGAATCAGAAAAAACGAATGTTTCTTCCAGAATAAATAAGTATGTATACATATAAATGCCCGTACATGTACATTCATATATACATATACACAAATAAAAGTAATAAATGAATAAATAAATAAATGAATAAATAAATAAATAAATATATATTTAAATATATATATATATATATATATATATATATATAAATCAACAAATCAATAAATCAATGAATCAATTATATACAGTGTAGTATATGTTGTGTGTGTACCTAGCACCGAGTATTGTCTCGTGCGTGCCTTGCGAAAGTGCTGGATGCCCACATGTACATATACTACACTTGGCAGACATACACCGTAGCACACATCCAAGAGTACCGAACTCAATCATCCTAAACCACACCTTGCGTGAGTGGAAACCATTTCCTTGTGGTTCTTGACGGCTAGCAACAACATGGCTCCTAACGTCCACTGCATCTCAATGCCATTCACTTTGCTGACAGGCTGCAGTTGGTACATCTCTGGGAAGCTGTGATACGGGAGAGCATCGGTAGTCAACAAAGGAGGCGATCAGAAAGTGTGCAAGTGTATAGTGTAGGTGGAGATAGTATAGGTGGACATAGTATAGGTCGATGTATGGTATGATGGGTTGGAACATGCACGCTTGAACTAGCAACCGTCGATATGCGGACCCATTTATTGTAGTGAGCCATAAAGAAGTGCAGGTGGTCATAGAATATGTAGGCATATGATAATGCGAGATGGTATACGTATTCCTGCCCTAGCAAACGCCTATGTATGCGTGTACAAACTACATAACCAGGTGTAGTTATCAGATGTACAGGAATGCTAATAGCCAAGGCAGAAGATGGCCGTTGCCATGGCAACTATAGGCTCGGGGTGCGCATACCAAAGACAGCCACTGAACTGCACAGATAAAAAGAATACACTCCACAGGCCTATTTATAGCAGCTACATATAGTCTAGGTCATTTATGTACTTTATTAAACGTATAGCTACCTACCACCGGTCTTATTAGCAGAGCATTATGATATAAGTTTATATAAAGATGAAGCACAGTGTGTAATGGTGAAACATACGGTAGATACGTAGCAACCAGAACCACATCCCTTCAAACATATGGCACATATGTACACCTATGAGCAACACACACATATACAATACTTATCACAGGCCACATATCAGTGCCCTCATTGGATAGGGATATATATATATATATATAATAGTGTTGACCAACATAAACCCCGTACAGGATAGCAGATGCACTGGGTGGGCAAGCTAGATGCATAGATTCTATTGAACATAGACCCTCAATCTACATAAATTATGTGCATATACATATACATATACATAAACCTAAACATAAACCTAAACCTAAACATAAAGATATACATATACATAAACATAAACATATACATACAGACGCATACGCAGACACAGACACAGACACAGACACAGACACAGATATATACACACACACACACACACACACACACACACATATATATATATATATATATATATACATATACATATACATATATATATACATATACATATACATGTATATATGTATACATAAATATATATCATGTATACAAACAATATGCTATCATAGTCTGCATACCCATGGCCTTGGTGAAAGGTAGTAGTAACCCATGCAGACTTGAAGCACTGATTGCGGATGCGGCTGAGGGCAACGTCCGGTGGAAAGGCACCTGAAACAAAATGAGAGATAAGTTAATATCAACAGAGACACTCGAGAGAGCATCCTACAGACAAACGACACCCGGGCAAACGCAACAGAATGATGGGTGTCAGAGGTCCGTCTACAAAGAGATGAGGATATGAGCTCGGTTGTAATGTCAGATGGTAACGTTATAGAAACACGTGTAAAAGTTATATAAACATGTGTAAACGTTATATAAACATGAGTAAACGTTATATAAACGTGTGTAAACGTTCTATAAACATGTGTAAACGCTATATATGCGCCATTTAATAATATACCTTGGAGACGAGAATAGGTGCATGTACAGTCCAATACAAAATAGTGACATGCACTTGCCACTAGACACAACTCAGTACTGTCAGGGGAAGAGAAAGAACATATATACAATACCAATACAAAACAGTGGGCTGCACTTACTTTCAGACATAACTTAAAACTATCAGGGACACACACACACACACACACACACACACACACACACACACATATATATATATATATATATATATATATATACATACACACACACACACACACACACACACATATATATATATATAATACCAATACAAAACAGTTGGTTGTTACTGTACTTACCATTTTCCCATTTCTTCTCGAGATCGTTCCATCGGGTGGCACAGAACTCTGCGGCAACACCTTCAAAGTCAGTGCTGTTGTACATCAGATCAGCTGTATATGGGTGGCCGATGAGAAAAATCAGACACAGATGAGAAACAGGAGAAATAAAATAAAGACAAACAGACACAGATGAGAAACAGGAGAAATAAAATAAAGACAAACAGACACAGATGAGAAACAGGAGAAATAAAATGAGAAAAATCAGACACAGACGAGATGTAAGTGAGGTGAAACTAAGTTGAGGACAGTCGCATAACAATAAGACACGAGTGACTAGATCAGTATCCGTAGGATAGCCGAGAACGGAAGATATGCATGCGTCATGCCGTATGTCTCATACCACACACACACCTTTAAAGATACTCTTCATATCACACACACACTTCACACACCTTTAAAAATACTCTTCATATCACACACACACTTCACACACCTTCTTTAAAGATACTCTTCAGCGTGTACCAGAACTCGCTGAGTCCAAGAAACTGGACATTCTGGAAGTCGATTTGGGGCTGGTCCATGTTGTTGAAGGCGCAGAAGAGGTCGTTGTGGCAATTGTCAGTGATGTTGAGAAGTGGTTGCAATGCCCTGCGGCATTTGTGAAAGTCTCCTGTGCCGATAAGTCTGTACGTCTGAGGGGATTTGGGGGGGGAGTGTGAGTGAATATGAAGTTTAGGGATGTTTGTGGGTACACATACACACACACACACATATATATATACAAAGATAAATATATATATATATATATACAAAGATAAATATATATATATATATATATATATATATATATATAGTATATATGTGTGTGTATGTACATACGTGTGTGCGTGTGATTCTGTGCATGAATATATGCGCGTGTGCGGCCGATTCGGATAATTTTTTTGAATCTATGTCTAGGCATGTATATGCGTGCATTGTGCCTTGGAGAGCGTTGTGGTGGTTATTGGTGGTTGTACAGAACTTTCATAATAAGGTGCACCTACAACTAGCAAAGCAGAAGACTTCGTTAAACCTGCGTTTATCTTCACAGCTTCAACTAAATTACAGCCCATCTACATCGAAAACTCACACCACATACATACCTACACACAAGGAATCAATTATATATAAACGCACAAAAAAGAAATCAAGTACACCACATGTACAACCACACACACGGGATAAAAACTATCTACAAACACACACAACTATCTCACCTCGTGCTCATCCACTAATCCCAGAGGTAGACACGGATCATTGACACTGCTCTCCTGCTCTCCTGCTGCATTTTCGGTTGCCATGGAATCATCGGTTGTATTCGGAGTCGAGCCCATTGCTAGGCTACCGTTGCTAGGCAATGCTGCCGTCACAGCCTCGCCCGCTGGCACAACCGCGTTGGCGTCTATATCGGTGTTTGTCTTGGCACCGGTGTTGGTGTTGGTGTTGGTGTCCACACCACCTGTCACTAGTCCCGTGCTACCACTGGCACTACCACCCTTGTTTGTGTGTGCGTGTGCGTGGGTGTCTATGCCTGCACCTGTCCTGCCCTTCGCTGTTGGGTCCTGGGTTGTCCTGTCCAGGGTTGGTTCTAAAATAGACTCGGCGCTCAGTGTGTCCGCCTGGGCGCCAGTGGCCTGCGTGGTATTTCCCGTGTGAAGCTCCTTCCGCACCACCTGTGCCTGTGACTGCGTTTCAGCACCCGTCGATTTTGGTACCGAACTGACGCCAACAACCGAGGCGTCAGCCTCTGCTCTAGCCTTACTGGGCGCACCCAGAGAGAGGGGTTGAGATGGTGGTAGACGATGAGTTATGATCTCTCGTTTTAACCGCACGTGCGCTGGTGGGAGTACTCCGTTAGATGACAGTAGATCTTCCATATACCGATCTCGGACGATGTTAGCGCCAAAACCGAGATACGTCACGGCGTACATCTGGGGTGTGGTGGGGAATAATTACACGCGCAGAGATGAGCGACATACTGGTGCATATGTATATATATATATAAATTTAAATGTATATACAAATATAAATACATATACATATATATAAATATATGAAGGTTTATGGTACCGTTGATACTACGCCTGACAATATCGTAGGGCGTGTATGTGTGGAACTTATGCACTAGCGCTTTGTGTGCAGGTGAGAAGTGTTCCTGTTCGATATAAAAAAATACAATATAGACAAATAGATATATATATATATATATATATATATATACATACATATAAATATTTATATACATATATATATAAATACATATATACATATATATATATATATATATATATATATATATATATATATATATATATACATATATATTTACTATATATATATATATACATATATATATACATACATATATACGTATATATATATATACATATATACGTATATATATATGTTTATATATACATGTACATACATACATACATCCATATATATACACATACATATATATATATATATATATATATATAACTATACACACACATACATATATATAGTATGTATATAGATTCACATACACAAGTATATATATATACATATATATAGTTATCAAACATACACATATGTATATATCAATTATTTATATATATATATATATTTATATACACACACACACACAGACATACATACACACACACACACACACACAACACACACACACACATATATATGTATATATATATATGTATATGTAGATACATATATATA